TGGAAAAATGGCCGCGGACCACGTGTCAGGGGTGGAAAAATGGCCGCGGACCACGAGGAATGGGCAGAAAATGGCTCGTAAGTCGAGGCGAGTTCGTAAGTCAAGGTAAATTTTTGGGGCTGGAGCTGATCGTATCTCGAAAATTTCGTAAGTAGGGGCGTTCGTAAGTAGAGGTACCACTGTATTTGGTTTCTAAATTCTTCCTTTTTACGCCTCTACCAATTTGCGGTGTTTGTAAGCATTTAGGCCCCTTTAAAAGCCATACTGTATCCTGGCCATTATTAACTTGGTCTTCAGAAAATACTTCATTAGCACAAGGCAAAATATCTCCTGTAAAAGCTTGTGGAGCTCCAGATAAATATTTCACACACACACACTAAATAGTTCTCTGCGCTCACATGTTCATGCAAGGTTTAATTCTCCCAGAAGACAAAGCTGTGCACACTGTTGCAATGAATCCTGTAATCATCTTTGTCCCTCTCAGGAAGATGATGCACACCTACCTAAGAATGGATCTCCATAGTTGACCATTTGGGGAAGAAAATCCAAACAGGACCATCTTTGCCTTGCCAACCCCTATGAAATTCTCAAGCACACAGTGGAATAAAATCAGGGCAACCCACACAGAATTCCCACCAAGATCTTGTTCGGCCCCATAGGTGTGACTCAGAAGAACTTTCCAATGCAGGACCGTTGCTCACTTCTAACCATTCCTTTGGCTTCAGAAAGCACTAATTCTTTGCCTTTAACCCCAGCTCTGCAACCATAAGGCTCTGCAACTGTAAACCAGGGGACTTCTCTTAGAGTAGAAGTGACAACCAACTATGAGATCCAAAACCTCATGAGATCTTGCATTAGACCACCAAAGCCTCATGAGATTTCAGTGAGATCTCATAAGAACTTATGACGTTCTGAAAAGTTGGGGATGGAAGTCATGTTTTCTATGTGTGGAGGGGGACGACACCTACAAGCCACTGCATGGTCAACTCCTGGGGTGGGGGAATAATTATATCCTGCAGAACCTTCTTGTGGATCCCACCAGGAGATAGATGGCTTTCGTGGGAGAAGATGAACCTGAGTCCTTTCCAAACTTGCAGAACCTGCACATCCCGTGTTGTCAAGGAAGGAGAACATTCTTTCCTGAGTTTTATTACTTTATGGGCTCTTATTTAAAAAGACTGACATTTCAGGAGGAAGCGTTCAGCAGAAATATCTCGCTGTGCACTGCATTCACACACCCCAGCCTAACAAAGGTGGCCAATGGCTGCAGCTGAGCAATCCAAAATGGGCTCTCTTATTTATAAGAGTTTAATTTACTGCCTGCGAGACTCGGGCTGGAGGTGGGGAAAATGCATGGCTCTCCATAGCCTTCTTAGAAAAACACTTTATTTCCTTCCCGCCGCCTTTCTAACAAACCTCGTGAGGGGAAAAACACATTGGCGTGACAGAAGCAATGAGGTTTCTGACTGAAGTCAAAGAGAGATGTTTGACAGGGAGAGGGATGAGACACAATTAGGGAAGCAGACTTATGCTTGGACAGATGCTAACGGAGAGCCAAAAAAAATAAAAAAAAATAAAATAAAAGCTTCTTTTCGCCATCAAACGGAGTCCGCCGGGACTGCGATAGCAAACATCTCAAATGTCAGCATTTCAAGTTTGGTTGGTGGATTGGTTTTGTTTTTTACTTACTGCCAAAATTGGGAGCGGCACCTGGATGGGAAGAAGGAAGAGGAAGAGACGGTTAGTGATATTGAGCAAGACTTGATGCGAATTAAAGAGATTGTTAGCTTCCCTGGTACCCAGATCAGGAACAGAGGAGTCAAAATGTCCAATCGCCTATAGCGCCTTCAAGAGATTGACCAACTCATGACCTGATTTTTCAATTTCTGTTTTTTGTTCTGTTCACTCAGGGTCATTCTTCCCCTGTGAGCTGGTTCTTAATAGGTTGTATCTTTCATGGGGGAACGCATTCGTGCTGAATGAAATCAGCTTTATTCGGGCCCGGGAGTGTGAGAAAGAAATTAAATGTCTTAGAAAGATTTAGTGCCACCAGCCCCAAAGTCTCCCTGTGACTTCTTTGATAGGTTCCAAGTGTTTGACAGGAACTGACAAGCTTGTGCCTGTTCAAAGGAGCTGTCCTTTGCCATCCCTGGCACACACACAACTCTTCCTGTCATGGTCATCTGAGCCCAGATGGTAACTTTGATCACCCTCTCTCCATCCGTCTCTTTTTGCTTTCGTTCCAAAGATGGGTAGTTAGAGGCCAAGAAGAACAGTAATGGTCCTCAAGGAGTGCTTTGAGAGCTCCAAATGTGCAAAATCAACATTAGGAGAGGCAGCAAACTCATTCTGGTACATCTTAAAACTTTCTCTGGTGTTTGGCAGCCAGGCTGTTGGAATCTGTTTGGAGAACCCCCTGCCTGAATGAGCAAGTTCACACATGTTAACCCTTATCCTGGTTTGCTTGATTCTGGCCCAGCCATTGCAGATTTTAAACCAAGGATTAGGGCTTAGCCTTATGGATGAGCATAGTTACTATGGATTATTCAGCCAACTGTGGTTACAACGAACTATGGCTTAGCTTGATGTCTGATGCCTCAAAATGGTTTCCTTCTAAAATCTTCTGCTGGAATGGGAGGCTGATCTCACTACTCCTAGAGCAGATCCCCTTATTTAACCATCCCCTTTTATCTTTACTATTAGCATTCAACAAAAGCCCCCAGTCCCATTATCCACAGAGCAAGATATTCCTCAGTGTACTATGCTAGCTAATGCATCAATTGTCAGTGGGGTGGGGTATTTCAAAAATATGAACATCGTGTGCAGACTTGTGTCAACACTCTGGGGCATGACTCCATTCTCAAGAGAGAAACTGAAAGACACCAAAGCCGGAGAAGCAAAACTCTTGAGGGTCTTTCTCAAAGCAAATCTGAGTGGGTCTTGTCTTGCTAAAAACTCCCCTAGAGGAAGAAACTCATCATGTTATGAATCCTTTGGAGAAGTCCTCATCTGAGAATGAGGCAGAACTTTAAGGACAAACAAGCCTTAGATCCACAAAGGAGGCCATGTCATGTCCTAGCAGCCAATTCTGACTAAGAAGTGTTGTTTCTATTGACCCTGAGGATTGAAAAGGATCAAGATCCAGGAAGGAAGAAATACAAGTGCACACAGTTGTAGAGAAAGTATCTCAGAAACGTTGGATCTACTGAGGAGTGAGTCCTTGTTCTTGAGTGGCCCTACTAGCCAGTTCACTGGGTATGGGCAGAAAGGTAATTTAGGAACAGATCTGTCTTGAAATTTTGCTTCCTTTTCCTAGTTGGAGGGGTGCATCACAAAATCCTGAACACTGCCCATTTTGAAGAGGAATGGAAATATGGGTGCATGGAATTGGGAAATTGACAAACACCACCTCCATTCTTTCTGCTGATGCTTTCAATTGGATTCAGACCACTCTCAGACCACCTCTTCCTTTGCACTTCTCTACTCTGATCTATCCATGGTGTTGCTTCCCTGTCCCCATCTTTGTAGGTTCCCCGTGATGGGGGCTGAGAGGAGGCTACAGAATGCCTGAAAATGATGCTATAGAGTGATCATTTCTGGAGATGGACTTCAGCTCAAAGCAGCCTTTACTGCCATACTTACACACATTAGGAGAACCGTTGGGACGGGGAAGATAAGAACCAGCTCTCCAAGATTTGCTCCGGAAATTCTTCTTGCATCTGCCGCAGTCCTGTCCCGTCGTGTTATGTTCACACTCACACTGGAGACTTCCCTCCTTGAAAATGCACTGGTTGGCATGGAGATTACATTTGCACCTGCAAGGGAAACAGAAGAGAGCGACGAGGTGTGATCCTTTGGGTTATCTGCAGCTGTATTTAAAAATGCATGCAATACTCTTTTGAATTGAATCCTCAAAGCAGCTTCGCTGGCATCACAGAAATATTAGAATAGAAAAGCATTCAGAAGTCATTAAACACCACAAGATCCAAGCCAGGTGCCAGCATTTGAATGAAGCCCCAACCCCTGAGGAACTAAAGCCAGAACTTGTCTGAAAACTATGCCTTTAATGACCCTCCTATGAAGATCAGTTGAGCAGACTTGACGTATTATTCTCTCCTGGAACCAACTGGTAAAAGTTTTAGCTTGGAAGCAACCTTGGAGAACATTCCATCTAGGAAGCACTACAACTCCCAGGAGCCTTCACTGTTGGCCTTGCTTCCTAGAGCTGTTGGGGGTTGAAGTTCATCAGACTTTGGAGGACCACTGGCAGAAACGTTACTGGATTGGTTTGGCCTATGTTCTCTAACCTGGTTGCTATATTTTGTACTAACCTTTGGAACTGGCATCTCATGGCCCACAAGTAGAATGGGATAGAGAACCTCTCTACTTATCTTCTTAAGAGTGTGAAGGGGAGGTAAAACAGCCCTGCTGAAGGTCCATGGGGATGCCAATCCATAAGCATGGGGACTAAGCCAAGAGGGAAGAAGGCAACCATGTCACTGTAGGAAGCCATGTCTGAATGTGTTGGTCCTGCCAGATCCATCTCCCACTGTTCAGTTTGCCCATCCTTAGCTGCTCAGGAAGCAGTTGGCACCTAATTGAGATAATATCTTGATCATGGATTGCCTATCTCCTGCTCAAAGTAGGATCTCCAATGCAGAAGGTAATTGTAGCATCTCTGGTAGATTATTTCTTCCAGAGCAGGTCAACTCAAGTTCTCCAGATGCTGAACATCTCCCATCATCTCCAGACAATACAGCCAATTATGAGGATGCTGAGAATTGTAGTGGAATCAAATATGCCTACAGTTTCACTTCTCAAATACCTGCAGTTGTGAATGCATACATACACCACCCCTTGAGCAGCCTGTTCCAATGCCAGCTCCTTTTTACCAAGAGGAATGTTCTCCTAATGTTTATGTGATGGAATGGACTTATGAAGGCCAGGCTCAGGGAGATAAGCGTGTTCTTAGTTTACCGGAGGAGCGTGGGAAGTTCAAGAGGATGAGGCTGGCACCTCCCTGAGGAATTCACGGTGTTGTGGCTGTCTGTCTTGGGAGATGGGGTTCAGTCTAGGGAGATTCTTTCTAGAGGGTGTAGCTAATAAACACAGCAGAACTGAATTTGCATTGTCTCTTGGAGTTCTTTGGGCTAAACCTGACACCTCCCCCTCGACTCACGG